GTCTCATTTGTAATTAACAATTGAGTACTAGGCCTTCTGCCACTAATCACGTTTTATTGCGGATTTAACTTTGTTAATCTTGTCTTGTTCTACTTTGTCTTGAAAATTATTTGGGATTTTATTATAAAATCTGACACATTGACCTCGAAATTCCTTGTTTAACTTTTGGAGCCTAGAGGCGGGTACTACAAGTTTATTTCTATTTCTGGTATTTATACAATGTACATCACTTCTTTTCAAAAAGCTATCTTTGTTTTTACGAATATATTGTATTTTCAAATATATATTGACTTGCTTTGCCTTGCCTTTAGTGTGGGATAACCCTTTATCGAGGACGGATATAGGCTATATAAAACGGGAGAAATTTATTTCTTTTGAGAGGAGCCAATAAAGATGCGCAGGTCAGTTACTAAGCAATACTTGGGGAGCCAATCACGATCCAAAAGAAATCAGATCTTCTAAAGAATATCAGTCAAGCACTTGCCAACTCAATCCCACTTCAAAAGTAAACGTTTCTAATTATAAATTCGTATTTAATAATTACGTAATAAAACTATACATATTGTATTGGTAGAGTACACCAACAAACCGACACACAGATACTACGGAATATTTATGAGCTCCAATTAGGAGGTGCGAGATAGTATCATACCTTTTTTGTACAGAACACAACCCGGAGTGGGTTGTCTATGGTCACGTTAAGTTGTTTTGGCGCGCTTTCTAGCTTGTCTCCGGTTTTTTTAATATTTAATGACTTTTGAAAGTTTTGAAAAGGTAATTTGTGTTAATAAAGTTCTAATATGAAAGTGATGACAGGTTAAAGTATATACTGGACCCCTGGTGTTATGTAGTCGTTTTTATTGTTTAAATTTTAGATTTACGTTCTTCTTCTACACATAAATATTAAGTATGATTGCTTCCGTGCGCCATATTTGTTTAATGAGGGGAAAAATAATTTTCGCCTAAGATTTATATGTAAAGCGCCTTACATGTAAAGTGGGGATGTTTCTTTTTTTCTGGCCTGTGTCAGGGTATGGGGAGTGTCGCAGACAATGATATTATATACTTGTACAAACAAGAGGTTACCAGAGGACCAAACCTACGATCCTCCTCCATAATACTGGGAGGACACTCTTAAGGCGGCAACGAACTCTCTTTCTCTTGAGATGTGCGTGTTAATGGGAGACGGGAGTCACCTACCATCAGGTGACCCGTCTGATCGTTTGCCCCCTATTACATAAAAGTCCAAATAATTTTATTTTGCTTGGAAATAATCATCTCCATCGCTTTCTCTGTTTCGATCCTGAATTGTGTTAGACGGGCGATGTAAACCATTTTTATTTTTATTCATTTCGTTTATAACGCATCAATTCTACATGGTGCCATCGAGGAAATGACTCTATTAATGAAGGTGTACCATTTGGTGACATTGGTAAAAAAACATCGACGGCACAGAGGTTGAAAGGTCCGGAAATAACTGGTCAAGTACGAGTTGGACTCGCGCTAGGGAGTTCCGTACAAGGTTAAAAAAATGCGAAGAACTTTTTTTATTTTTACCCGACCGCGCTAATAGGACTGTTATGTTTTAGAGTATATTTACGTATATTTCTTTGGCACGCTCTGTGGTCTAAACGGCTTGATGGATTTTGGCGTTTGAGGAGTCGTTATATTCGTCTTAATTGTGAGAGACACTCGACATATGGAAATTTTAAAAAATAACATCGCCGGTTTGTAAATTTTAAGAATTTTTACATTTGCAAGCAGTCGTTTTTTTATAATTAACTTGTTTATTGGTTTCTTCTTGTTATAGTTTATAACAGTTGACATCGCTGTCTTAATAACTATTCCAATCACAAGAACAGGATTTGAGCTACAGTAGTCTCACATCTGTTTCCCATGCGACACTTCTATGCTCCCTTAAACTAGCTTCTCGCCCTATCCGGCTTCATCATCATCATCAACAGGCTTTAACAGTCCACTGCTGGACATAGGCCTCTCCTTAGAAAGGAGGTTTTGGCCTACTACCCTTATTTATCTTCCATTGTCCTGTATGAAAACGATGAAATATCCAGGGAAGGCTGGTGTCAGGGAGGACTTTCAGGCAGGTGCCGGTCATAAAAGTTTGAGTATTTGGATATGTTCGAAGCTAGTATCTAAGTGGTAACCGAGTAGGTTAACATTGCATGGTTAAGCAATCCTATCCCGGTCCGTTTGTGGATGGGTGACCATTCTTAACACATTGAGACTTCTGCGTACCTCGGAGAGCACGTTAAGCCATCGGTCCTGATTGCCATACGAAGATCTGTGGCCATCGTTACGGTTGGGGTCCTAAAATATCCGACAACAGTCTACCTACAGAACTTCCATATCGCCTAGTACAAGAATTTCGAACTTCGATATCGCCTAGTACAAGAAGTTCAGCCGTATCGTAGTCCTTAGACTTAAAGCCAACCCCAACCTAGTTTAGGCAAAAAGCTCATCAACAGCCTTTAATAGTCCACTGCTGGACATAAGCCTCTCCTGAGAAAGGAGGTTTTTGCCTACTATACCACGCTGGCCAGACGGGTTGGTAAAGGGTTTGTGTCAAGTTTTCCTTCTCTCTGCAGTGCTGTTGTCCTGCTTAGTTTTTTCCTTTAGTCGGCTCTTACCACACCCACGGGATGAATAGGGGTGGTGACACTCTGTATTCTTAATCCGTCACCGGTGGAAGATATTCAGATATGTTCGGCTTCTGTCGTAATACCCGTGCTCACACACTCTTTCTCACTCTCTTCTACCTCAAGTGTTGATTGTGCACACTAAGGACAAAATAAAATCACAATCACATGTGATAAATCATTAGATCTACAGATCATATCATCACACCTGTGACTGATTAACAAAACAACTGCTACTTAATTTTTAATTACGCTAGCGAAAGGTTTAAATCTAAATAAAGGTCATAAAAAGAATTTTGATTGATGTTAATGCCATTTATCTTTGTCTATGACGAAATCACAATCACAGGTGAAGTCGCTGTGTTAAATCCAATCATATTATCAAATGAATATGTTTTGTAAGTAGCAACAATTGGCATGTCTAGTGCACACACGTTATTGTAATAGAAATAAAACTACATGTCCTTGATATAAATGCAATATACACAAGCTGACAGATAGACGCACAGCGAGCCTTAGTAATAGAGATCCGTTGGCATCCTGAGCATACGGAACCCTGATATATGACTGTTTGATTTAGTATTAATATTTTCGTAGAGGCATCTGTTTGATATTATATTATGTTTTTAAAATGTATTTCATTAGTAGAGATATTAATTTTAATGGGCATTATAATGAGTTTATAGCAGAAACATTAAAGTCTATTAGTTGGACAAAGTATGAACAGTTTACTTGATTTATTGAGAAGTGACGTCACAGGATAGTAAATATCACGATAAATCAATATTGAAAAGTTTTGTATGTGAGAGTGGTATTTTAAACTTTTTTGTGGTGTAGGTTAAGTTTTAGGGCTACGACAATATTAAAGTTTGACGAGTGTGATACTGGATCTAAAATTTGAATTGTTTTAATAATAAAATACCTTCAAACATCTCACACACGGCCGTCTGAGCCCAAACTATGCAGAGCTTGTATTATGTTAACCATGGTGGCTCTTCGACGAGCACTTCCGACATCTTGCTCCAAAGCTGGTCAGCACTGATGATATACATACTTAAATATGTATATTACTAAATACATACATATTATAGATAGATTACACCCAGACAGAACAAATGATCGTGCTGATCATATAATAGGCTAGTTGACTGAATTTGAAAAATCGGTTAATTATATACTTTAATATCTATTTTATCCCAAAAAACCTAAATTTTAAAGAAAAAGCAATATTTACATTACATATTTTGTATTTAAAAAAAACAATTCAAATTTCCCTTGAAAACGCTGAATAGTGTCATAGCGTCTTGAATGACGTCACAGTCTGCGAAACAAAACGGTTTACATCTGTGTCCAGTGTCAACTGAAACTGTACTAAGGTGAGAAAATATGCTAAAAACGAAAAACAAAAAGGAGTAACCTGCTCTGTTGTATGAAAACGTCAACAACAACAATGATGTTTTGCGTGGCGTGACGTAACACTTTCTGATTGGTGTTAGCTGTCACGTGACTTAATGCCTATATTGTTCAATTTTTTTTAAATATTAATAATCTTTAACTTTTATGAGAAATATACTGTTTTTTTCTTACCTATGCCTCTTCATTTATAATTTGAAACTATAAACCAAGCAATTTGTTATTAGTGGATACAAGCCTATTATTTGCAGTGGGTGGAAATCGAATCCACGACCAACAGGATAGTCAAATTAGATATTCATTGCTTCTATACGTAAAAATATACCAATTTATGATGATAAAACCAAAATGGAAATATTTATCCAGTGATAAAAATTGATTTTAGGGTCACTCGATAGGACATAGGACTTCATCTAAAGTGAAACAGAATAAGAGTTACATCAGACATCAGAATACATCATCATTAACAACAACAGGCTATAACAGTCCACTGCTGGACATAGGCCTCCCTTAGAAAGGAGGTTATGGCCTATTATGCCATGCCATGATGGCCAGACGGGTTTGAGTTTGTTTCAAGTTTTTCTTCTCTGTGCAGTGCTGTTGTCTTACGTCATCCACGGCATGCATAGCGGTGGTGACGCTCCGTATTCTAAGTCGGTTACCACACGGACAATTTATCATGAAATAATTAATATTTAGGTAGGTATTTAAATAGTAAAATAAGTGCCATAACCACTACAGATATGCAAAACCATAAACGTACATAATAACAAAATAACATTATATACTAAACTAATGAATCTATTAACACATTAACTAACTGAAAACAATTGTTTAAATAACATGATTAAAAAGATGCATATAGATTTATACACCAAAACTAAAGCGCGAAATAAAACAATATGGCGGCTAAAGCAACGACATCGACCATTAACAGACAAACCTTTCGTCACAACGGCAGTGCATTAGAGTGTTGACGCGCCAGTTGTAGAATCCATACTTCTTCTCCATAGCACCGATCCAGAAAGGGCATCGAAGATCGTGAACTCTGCAGCAGCGATCAGTTCTGGTGTAGCTGCCGAGCTGAGAGTATCTCGTTGCCGAGAAACCCTTTCCGCACCACTTGGTGCCAGGTACTCGGAGCAACTCCATTGTGTCTCGCTTTTGTCTAATGGGTAATACCGAAATATTGAATACCTACCTATTTGTTTTTCTACCGGGTATTATTAAAACCGATATTCGAATAAAAACGGATTTAAACCGGTTGCTTATAATGATTGACCATTCGTCGATTAAATTATTTTAATTTATTTTACATATTAATAAGAGAGGCATTAAAGACAATTCATCTAACAATTAAATAAAAAACTTTATTCATTACAGTTGTCTATGATTACTATATGTCAAAATTAATTCCAAAATCGATCAATCATTCGTCTAAATCGATACGATCACCCATCCCTTTTTTACTATTTTTTTTTAAATATGAGCAATGGTATTCAGTTCATAATGACCTTTTCTTTATTTCATAAGCAACGTGTTAAAAATAAATGGACCACCAACGTGTTTATGTTTAAAAAAAATAACCATAAATATGGCGGGGATAGTCGATGTAAATTCTTTATAGATCCTGAAGTGCCATAAAGATAGATACATCGTTACTGGCTGGAATGATCTATGGATCAAACAGTTTATGGCTTTATTGGCTCGCAGTTTGACTAACATTAATTGCTCGATATATTTCACGTTACCAAATAGTTTATACAAAATAGGTGTTACAAGTTACGTAATCAGTTGATGTGGTTGTTAAATGCATACTAAAAAAAAAGATTAGGACTTAAGGTGTAAGGTATTTCTGTCATCTTGACGGTTACGTCATTTTCTATTGACAGCTTTTAACGAAACAGTTGCAACATTTTTTAATAATACATTTGAAAATCGATTTATTGATTGTTTATTAAAAAAAATCGTGTCTTTACTTTCAAAGGTTTCAAAGGTAACTGACTATTGCCGACTATGGTCACCTGCCACTCTAAAGTCACAAAGGTGTGGCTTAATCACCCTTCAGACTAATATTATAAAGGCGAAAGTCTGTGATTGTGTTGTAATCGTATGTTTGTTGCTTTTTCATGCTCAAACGGCTGGACCGATTATGATAAAATTTGGTATTGAGGTAGCTGATACTCTGGATTAACGCATAAATGTAGTGTTCAGGAGATACAAGTTGTTGTAGGTAACACCGCAACTGGTGTAAGATATTTTAAGGTTATATGACACTTTTTAAAGTACAGTCGTAAGCAAATTAATTATCGGAAAAAAAAACAAATACTACTGTTAGTAAGGCTGTCACCTTAACAAGCATGATGGAGACTAAAAAAGGTTATACTTAGGTTTTTTTTAAAGGAACTCAATGATAAGAATATATTTTAAAAAGAAAAGGAATTGCCGGAGTTTTGAGGTAACAAACATAAAAAAATATACATACGACCCAGCTGTGATCACTCACTTTTTTTTAAGTCGGTCAAAAATGTCTCTTTGTCTCTATATTCCTTATTTAATAATAAACACAGTACGACGCTGTTAATTCTATACTTCATCAACAATAACATTTGTTCTTTTAATCATATATCTTATGAGTACATATGTATATTCTTAAAACCAACCAACCAAACTCAGTCAGACAAAAACCGAGAGATTTCCAAATAAATTACATTGCAAAATGCATTCAGGGCGTATAACATAGTAGTTGCTTTGACTAAAATACTTTAATCCCTAAAATGCAGACTCTTCAAAGCTCAGACATCAACACAGCGGGGCGTTTGATTTGAAACCAAAACTCCTCAGATAAACCCATCCTTAAAGCAGTATAATAAAAATAAATAACACAATAATCAGATTATTTTCCATTTAATCTTAATTAGGATGGTAATGGGACGCACCTTCGCTTTTTAGTAGAAATGGGACATAAACTTTATGACATACTGCCTTGATTAAGATGCCTCAATGTAAAAAAAAAACAGTAATAAAATTTGAACGTAACGATCTTTTCCATAATTTGACAGTTCGTTGACGTTGCTGTCTTTTTGACAGTTGCTGTTAAAATATAATGAAAGTTATGGAATGAAGTTGTTATGTTCTACAATTTAAGTTCGAATCTTTAGTGATGGGATAGCTACACGTAATTACTAGAGATCAAATGACAGTCAAACTTTTCACAATTTTTAACTTTATAGCATTACTAGGATGCATATATGATTGGGTAGAGGGGTAACACAGCAGACAGTGGAGGTGAGCGTTGACGCATCGCAAGGTCCCTAAACCTACTCCTGTGTTGCAAGTCCTAGGCGCTGTCGCAATCGCATGTGTTGCTCCCACCTATCACGCGATGGACCCGGCACCCACACGGTGAATCCTTGAAAGGCTAACAAATAGGTCTATACGATATGTTTCCATATTTGTTAATATATAGGTTTAGTTTTTCAAGCCATAAAATTGTTTACATGTTTTTTGAAAATCATTACTTAACTATATTGCCTGAAATATTTAATTTAAAGACGATATTGAACCGTGTGGCACTGTCAGACTACTAGTGTTTTGCCTAGTTGCCTAATCAGTCCTGCAATTTCACCAAAAAAAGCAAGAAATTAAAAAGCTATATACAAAGCCCCATCACCATTTCATCAGATCGTATCAAAACCAATGTATGTACATGATTTTGTGAATATATCATATTAGAAGTTTTTTTAAAGACCACCCCCGTAGTAGGAATATATAAAGTCGCGGAGGATTTTACAAATATACATGAAACCCACACAAAGAACACCCAGTCTCAGAACAACAATTTGCGGATTACACAAAGTGTTGTCCCATGTGGGGATCGAACCCATAACACTCAGCGCAGTAAACCATTAGGCCATCCGTGCGTTCAATACATCAAAATTGTTTTCCCTAGTAACATTTCTTGTAAAACTGTTGTTTTTTTTAGGCCCTAATGCCAGGTACATTTCTTATAATATTTCTTTGTGACGTCCATCTACATATGATTTTTTGATTTCATTATTTTCATATTATATAGTATTAACTATTTAAGTGGTACAACTCTAAGAATACGTTAGAAACTATTGTTATTTTTTATACTGGTATGTAGATAAATAACAAATTATATAACTGTACTAATTCTAAATAGTTTTTACTCGATCGTGTATTTACAAAACTAATTAATAAGTATAAAACAGTGATAATGAATATGGTAACATTGCGCTGTCACAAAAAAAAAACAAAACCCAAAACCATTTCGAAATTCAAAAACTCGAACTGACAACCTCCCAACTCAACATGAAAAAAAAAACAAACCAAAAAGGCCTGGTGTTAAAAAAATGAACTAACCTCCTATCGCATCGGCAATGCGAAATAGTGTAAGGTCTATAGTTGAAATATCCGAATCTTCGTTTAAACATGCCGATGTTCAACCGGCAATGGTCGTGGGCCCTACAGCAAGTGTCTTCGGCTGCGTCAATCCCAAGTTCCCCATACCGAGCAGCGATGTGCCCAGCCCCGCACCATTTCGTCCCCGGCAGTATGAAATTCTCCCTCAAGGATCTCCGCGACCTGTTTTCAGGTTAGAAAATGGTAAATTTGGGCAACACTAAACGCAAAAATGATTGTAGTTCAATATGTAAATACAAAAATTAAATATATATGTAAATATTACCATACTAAAAAATAATTACTATTTGAACAGTTCATCATCAACAGCCTTTATTTATCCACTGTTGGACGTAGGCCTCTCCTTAGAAAGGAGGTTTTAGCCTACTATACCACGCTGGCCAGACAGGTTAGTTTCAAGTTTGCCGTCTCTTTGCAGTTTTGTTGTTCTGCGTAGTTTGCTCCCTTAGTCGGCTCTTACGACACCCATGGGTTGAATCGTATTCTTAATCCGTCACCACACGGATGAACAGATTTGAACAGTTACTGCAAAGAAAAAAACTGTTGCTTGGAAAATAAAGTTGAAAAATTAATTTAAGTACATTAAACAAAATAATGTATTTTTTGACCGTGTGATTAGGATGTAAATGAAATAAAAGTTGAATGAAACATGAATCTTTGACTATGGACTACATGAATATTAAGACGATAAAACTAAATATTGTCTATTAACAGCTTAAAATAGGTATGTTAATTTTAAACCAGGTAACAGGTCCGTTGAGGTCAGCTCTATAAATATAGCAATGACTATCAGTTTTAGTCAGACCACGGGTTGTCAAAAAAAAGATTAAATTAAATATTTGTAGGTACGTCTGTCAAAGTCTGAATTTTATATAGTAACTATGTCTTGCAGAAAGTAACGCGCTTACATAGGTATTTAGATTTTCAATAAAAATTGCCGAAATTTTGCCTAATAACTTTGTAATGTATTTAGAACTTACTGTATCCTTTTTTTCTTACTGTTTTTGTTACTATCCTAGACTATTATATTGTTAGATAGCTGAAAATACGTACATGTTTTTTAACAAATCTGAAACTTAATTGTTATAGATTTTTTTTTAAATATTCGCCATAGAAATTCATTAAATTAAAAAAAAACTAGTATAAACCAACTATTTCGGCCTAATTTGTTTAATACAATTTTGGTGATGGAAATCATAAAACAATGTACATATTAACAACACAAAAACAGTAAAAGAAGAAAATATAAAGGATATAAGTTAAAAAAATGTTTGGGCAAATTTTGAAAATGGTTGAGTTTGGGATACGATATTACATAGTGAAATCTATCAGAAATGATGGCAACTACAACGCCTTTTTTTTCCGTGCGGAAATCCCCTCGGATACCACCTATCGGTGGCATGTCAGACACGAACCGACTAAAACCGCACGCCGTCTCGGGTACTAATAGCCGGGGAACCAGTTATACCCTAGAAAGGAAGTCCCTGGTGCAACTACAACCCCCTAGTATCTAGGTCGACTTAACCAGTAACCCTATATATTATGGAATGCGATAGTTTAAAAGTCTGAATTGTAGTTTCTAAATAGAATATGTTTAATGGTTCATATTTCTTTGTTTGTCAAGTTAGAGTTACAAAATTCATTGTTACTTGTAAGACATTCCATAGAGTACGAATTTCTTTGCACAGATACTAATATAACCAAAACATACCAATGTAAACGACGCTCATATTCGTTAAAAACAAAATAATTGTTTTGATAAATAATAAACAAATATAATAAATCCGTACTCTATCGAATGTAAAAATCCTACGGTTTTGTTAATTTATATGTTAAACTCGAAACAAAAGGCATTAGTTTTAACTCTTGCAAGTAAATTTCTGACTAAACATGTATATTTAAATGATTTTTATTATGTTATTTAAAGGTTATGATGAATGACGAACTTATGTGACAAATGCAGATCGAACAGGACGAAGAAATTGTTTCTTGTTGAAAGTTCATAATTAGATTAGCAGTGGTATTCTTTAAAGAAACAGCTTTGGGTACAGCGCTGCCAGATCTTCGAACTTAAAACTACTCGTAACTTTGTTTAAAATTCGACGTTGTCACAGCGCTGTAGCGTCGAATTTCAAACGAACTTAGTTTGAAGTTCGAAGCTGTGGTAGCGATGTACGCAAGGCTGTTTCTTTAGACAATAGCACTGCAGGAAAAACCTAGCTCTGTGGCGCAAGAGACACAAGTGCGTTGCCACTGTTTGTGTCCCTCTCAGTGTTAGGAAGAGGGGAGGAAGAGAGGATGGTTCCTTAGATAACCTAACTCCTACTCATAACTGTGAGAAGCACCGCGAGAATTACTTGACACTGGTTTGCTGCGAGGCCATGGCATCACACCGGTCAAGCCGTCCAATTTCTGTCGAAGCAGAATTCTAACTCGTACTAATGAAATAATACCAATATATTGAATCAAGAAAAATAATGGGTTCTATCTAATTTTCTACCTTTGGATCCAGAGAGAAAGAATATAACATGTATTTAATTCATATAATCTTGATAATATTCCTTGAACAATCATCAAAAACATCCTTCTCACTGTAACTCCTGTACACCACAGAAGTGACCCATGAACACACCGAGTTATGACACTCGATAAGTCCCAGGGAAAATTAAACTGTCTTGGAACACGCGACGAAAATAATCAGAAGAAAAACGGAGGAGTTTGAAATACAATAAATAGAATTAATGCAATTCCCTCCTTAGCAAATCGGGAGACAAAAAGACGTAACTACGTAAGAATTGACTACGCGTGAGTCTGCCTAATGTCCGGTTCAATTTAATCGAAGTCAGATAACTAAAAGGGGATTTACGAATATCATTGCAATAAAGCCCCAATTTAATAGTTTAAATATAATACATGTAGAATTAAAATTATTAATATTAGTTACTAATGATAAATGATCACACTTAATGGATGATGAAAGGTTAAAAAGATACTAATAAACAAATAGCTTACTAAAAGTTTCGAATTTAGATTATATAAACAGTAATAAAGCAACATAAACTCTGCGTAAAAGTATAAATATAGGTCCTTTCAGTATTGGATCTGATAAAGATTATACGTGTGCCAAAAGGCTGGTGTCCAGATACCGTGAAGTGAAAAGGTCATAAATGAACTGATTAGATCCAAAAAGTAGGAGATGTGACATTGTAAAGAGATGAGTATCGTGCTTATTGCAACATTGGAGGTCATTTGAATATCTAGAATTGTTATTGAAATCTAGAAGTCGACCACATTTTATTTATTTATTTAATTATTTTTCCACAAACAACAATTCATTGTACAAAGACGGACTAAATGCCACAGGAATTTTCTCCTAGTCTACCTTTGGGTGGTGGGGAAATGTCTGAGGAGGTGCATTTTAAAGTTCGACCGTAATTATTCAAATTAATTACTAAAAATATATTTATTTTATTAAATGGCATCACTAACGGTCTTCAACAGCTACTGAATTGTTTTGTCTTTCGAAAATTATCATCAAATTGAAAATTTAAAAAGTATCAATGATTCAATGCACTACCTATACCCGATAAATTGTGATAAACTTCATTTTTGATTCCTTCCACCATTCCATTCCTTAATTTTTTTTAAATCTTCATCATTCTTAATAAAGTGCTAATTATTATATCATCTACAAAGAAAGTTACGTCTTAGTTAGGAGTGTATTTGGCAAGAATAATGCCGTAATGAAAGTATCTGCTAGGATTTAGCTTTGGACTTTAACGATGTTTAGTAGATATTAAAATACAAAACTTTAGTATAGTAGTGGGACGTTTTAACTCTAGATATTCAAAGGTACTTCCAATTTCATCTAACCATGAAATTCTCAAATTCTTGAAAATAAAATAGATATCAAGAATTTTAAGAGGGTAACTTTGAAGAAAATTCTGAGTGCGATCATTTTTGTTTAGGAATGTTAAATTCACGACTTTTTATAAAAAAACACTATTGTATAATATATGTAGTTTACAATATTGTATTTTCACCGACCTACATTTTGATCAAAGTTACCCAGTTTGGTCATTAAAGATACCCAGCATTTTTTTTACTATTAATTTTTTTAATAGCAACAACTACCTAGCAAACGAAGAGTCTCCAGTTTTATTTATATTCTCTATCATATACTTCATTTCTTCATGTCTCCTCAGACATTCCATTTTCAATTTGTCATATTGCAACCAACTCGATATGTCAGGCGGTAAACTGTCATTTTTCCTTAGTATTCGGAAACTGACATTACCAAAATGGCGGTAAAATTTTTCTTCTATATTTTCTGAGTTTTTGTTATTTAAGCTGTATATTTTTTCATCTAAAGCGGATTTTAATTCTTTTCTTAAAGTTTTGAGAAAGCTTCTAGCTGTTCGTTCTTGAGTTATATATTCACAGTCTTGTAAGTCACCATTTTGAGAGTAGATGACTTGTATAAGATGGCGGCCGTCGGTCAGCTGACGGAGTTTGAGTCCTTGTCTGTAACAATGAAAAAACATACTTTTAATTTTTAACTAGCTTTTGCCCGCCACTTCGCCCAACAACGTTTGTTATTTTTAATAAAAAAGTATTTACTTAGTATTGATTTTGAAAGGTTGGTGAACACTTGTTTTGGCAAGGAGTATTCTATCAATGGTGTGTTATTTGTGAGATTTTCTTAATCCAATATTCGCTGCAGTAAAGGCTGATGATGATGATGATGATGAAATAGTAAAACAATATTTGCTAACCGGACCACAGTAGTTGGCAATGTGAGGGTTTATTGGTGATGGTTTAAGAAAGGTATCTTGAACCAGCAAAATGTCGAGTTGGTATCCCCTAAGAAACTCACCTATCTCGTCTTTTTGTTTTGCAATACCATTGGCATTGAAAAACCATAACTTGAGTGATCGTGGTTTGATTCTACCTGTAGGTTTGCTATCCATTATGGGTTGATTTTAAAGGAACCCTATTCTCGAGCACGCTCGAGTGCTTGATACTAACATTAAGGAGGGCCAATGGGTTGCCCTCGTTTTGTTTGATTAAGTCTGCGAGTTGTCGTAGTTCGCCAAAGTCTATGACATATAGACATACTCGTATAAGGACATATATAGACGTATAAGGACTAGATCTGGATCTAGTCCCTGTGGGGTGAAATCTCTGGATGTACTGCGTTATTTTGGTTGGTCCGAGGGAGGCTTGGATTGCCCAACGGTTGGTTTTGTGGTCTCGTAAGGATTCCGACATGACCTCAGTGGCAGCGGGGGGCACGCCTCTGCCGTATCTTTGGTTGAGGCCCATGCATTAGTAAGGGGCGAAAGGGCTGGGCGGAAGAGCTGCGTTCCTCACAACAACAGAAACTCAACTCTTCGCCTTGGGGAGTTTGGGCGCACGATAGTTCGCGGGGTGGCCTGTTGCGGCGCAACATATACTACTGACGGTAAAAAAACATGGTGAGGTTTAAAAAAAGGTTACAACGCCATCTATCGAGCTTCAGGTTAAACTTACTTATTAATGCCATCAACAAGTCTTAAAAGTTTGCACAGCAACTTTTTATTTTTAAATCGGATCAGTTGTATCGATACAAGCCTAAAGTTACCCTCCACATGTGCCATTTACACTTTAAAACGATTAATACAGCTATATAGCCATCACTATTCCCCGCGTCGCTTTAAATTGAGAGTAATAAATATTATAAATCGATTCCGCTTAGTTAGAACATCACCCCTCAGTTGTCTTGTCATCCCCAGGGATGCGCTAATAGCCACTCCGTATCACTGTGAAGTTTTTATTATAATTTTATGTGACGTCAGTGTATTGAAAATCTAGTTATAGGGACCCCGCACTCAACAACCCTGTATATTGTCTACTAGCTTTGTCGGTTACCGCGGTAAAAAGTAGCCTTTGTCCTTTCTCAATAATCAAACTACCGTTATACCAAATTTCATCTAAATCGGTTGAGCGGTTATTATTGCCCCGTACATTGCGGCGATCGTCACTTTCCATCAGGTGACCCGTCTGCTCGTCTGCCCCCTCTAACATAAAAAAAAACAAATCATCCGAAAAAAAAGCCGAGACATTATTCCCAACAACACCGATCCCTTCTCTCACATACTCGTTCACAGCCATACTATAACAAACGCCGCAAACCCCGCTGAGGTGACGGCCCGAGGGGGTTTCTACACGTAAAAAAAAATGGTAAATACATAAACATTATAGGTTACCTACGTTCGCTGTGTGGTGACGGATTAAGAATACCACCACCCCTATTCATCACGTGGGTGTCGTAAGAGCCGACTAAGGGAGCAAACTACGCAGGACAACAGCACTACAAAGAGAAGGAAAACTTGATAAAAAACCCTATACCAACCCGTCTGGCCACCGTGGTATAGTAGGCCAAAACCTCCTTTCTAAGGAGAGGCCTATGGCCAGCAGCGGACTACTAAAGGCTGTTGATGTGATGATGATGATGATGATCGTTCGCGTGGTACGATAAACGACTGCAGTCCACGAGGCCTCGGGTTCGTTTCCCGGACCGGGCAAAATTTATACTTGTTTTCTGAGGGAAAACAGCCTAAGTTACTCCTTATATTGAAAGCTACCTGCGGTTTTAAAGATTACCCGAAACAACCAGACAGACAGACAGACAAAAAATATTTAAACTGGTTTTTAGCGTAGGTATCGTGCAAATAACCGTGTTATTATTTTGACATTACAAACAGACACTTCAATTTTATTCATTTGTATAGACAAATTACACCCAGATACAGAACAAATAAACATACTCAATACACAATTATTTGTTCTGTAGTGGGAAGCGAACCTACGACCTGCCTTAGCTTAGCAAAATATAAATTTAAATTTAACTGTATATTTATTGAACCGTCCTTTCATTTTGAGACGTAAACGTTGGTTTTAATGCTGTAAGCATCTTAATAATAAAATACCGTAAGACATTCCCTATAGCACATTAGAAATAGCTGTCATAAAACAGATATATCATTAATATTCACTCCTAACACAAGCAATCTACCTTAGCTGGAGGGGTAACGGGAATACTAGTAATTACGGTTGCTATTAAAACTTAATAAAAAAAAACTGTTGTCAATAGTAAAAAGCACCTCACGCTTTTTTCAAATTTATTAACGATTATTTTCAATTTTTTTAGTTTGGTTTCTTGTTTTTTAAAACTTAAAAAAAAAAATTTGTGTATTGTCATCGGTCCTCGATATATCTACAAAGTTTGAACGAATTCTGACCGCTTAAAGTCAGTCAAAATCACGCCCGAAGGAGTCGGTTACAAACAAACATACATACATACAAGTGAAGCTAATATAAAGCGTGTATAAACTCGACTGTTGGTCTACTGGTTCGTGATCCTGATGGCTAAACCAGAGGTTGTGAGTTCGATCCTCGCCTGAGGGCCGATACCCTCAAGGTCGGCGACGATTTGTTCAACAGATTTTTCAGAGAAAGTTTCTTTAGAAGCAAACAGTAGTCGATGGCAATTCATCTAAGGGATTGGGATGGATGTATTTCCACGTGGTAAGTTTATAAAGTCAAGTGAAGTTTACCCCCCTTAAAATTTTGGGGGCTTGAATAACCATAATGACTAAAGCGTGGATTACTTTTTACTTCATTCCCCATGGAATTTAATCTCAATTTGATAGTCCATGATACTACGAGTTTCTGAGAATAAAATGCCTTGATAAATAAACAGATGTATTAAAAAGTGATAATAATGTACCACAGAAAGTACAGTCATGACGTAAAATAAAAGGAAACTGATACGACATTCGATTACCGTATTTAAAGATACAAAATCAAAACACGAAATAGACACGGATTTATTAGCAGTTACGTAATGCGATTAGTCGCACTTCCCCAAGTACAGTGATGCACAAATGTCTATAAATATCAATTTGTGTTATCGACAGTCCCTTGGGACTTTAGCTTTCATCTGTACTGTTACAAACAATCTATAAAACCGCAGTAGGGGTTTACAATATCAATAAATAATTGTGTAAGAGTGGTGGTGAGTTACTGCTACAAGGAGGAATTGTGTGTTGAAATAAGAATAAACCTAAACAATAATTATTAAAAGTGGGTAGATTTTAGCCCAGAGGTTGCACTTTTAACGTCTCATCAATAGCCTTTAATAGTCAAATGCTCTGGCTAGGCCTTTCCTTAGAAATAAGGTTTTGGCCTACTATACCACGCTGGCTAGACGGGTTTGTCTCAAGTTTTCCTTCTCTTTGCAATGCTGTTGTCCTGCGTAGTTTGCTCCCTTTGTCGGCTCTTACGACACCTACGGTATGAATAGGGGTGGTGACACTCCATAACCTTAATCTGTCACCACAAGGATAACACTTTTAACCTCTTCTCACTACCGAAATTCGTATGGATCAGATTTTTTGTGGTTAATATATTAATGTGGTTGTTATTTCTATGTAGGTTTTAAATGGGAACATATTTTTTTTTAATTTTATCCGTAGGGTAAACCTCATTTCTCTATGATTTTATTTTAGGTCTATAAATATTTTAAGTTATTTTAGTCTATACGTATAAAATTAGTTGCCCTGACTGACTGACTAATTCATCGTCGCAAAGCCTAAACCGCTGGGGCTTCAAACTTGACATTTTAGCAGGTGATGCTTTTTATATTGTAAGCACCCACTGAGAAAGCATTTTTGGAAATTTTATCCCCAAAACGGGATAAATTAAGTGATGAAGTGATGAATGGTTGCATGGAAGTTCGTCCTTTCCAAAGTTAAAAAAATAATCACGGATAACAGCTAGTATTTTACAGGTATTGGCATGACATTGACACATCAGCAATTTAAATATGAATGTTAAGGTAAGTTTAGTCGCTTATTTGAATAAGTTACTAATAAGGAATATAATTCTATTTATATAAATATCATAAAAACATATTTATTCTAATGTATTTTAGTTTTGTTCCACCGATTTTAATATATCAGATTTTAATATATAGAACATAATGATAGTTTTAAGAAAATGTATTAAATAAACCTATAAAATTACTAACGCTATAAAATTACGAAGCACCGCTGCACTCGGTTGTACATTAAAATGAGTCGTTACACTAAAGCCGCGACCGCCGCGAATGTGTTTAATGAACCGTATCTGTCGGCGAATGTACATTCCGAACAATCGAGGGTCGCAAGGACCAGCCACAGAAAATGGGGGAAGATGGGGTATGTTGAACATATACAATGCTAGCTATCGCCCGTGGCTTCGCTCACCGATTATTGCGTAATTATTTCTAACATTGAAGATGATAAACTTCAACCGGTCATCCTTTATTTTATCCTCTTAGGGTTAAAACTTTCAAAAAATCTTTCTTACTGAATGCTTACAACAAGGCTCTGCGTTGAGGAATCAGACATTTATGCAGTAGCAACGGAGCCTTGTAATTAAATTCCCAGCAAAGAATTTGAGTTTTCATTGTACTAGTATCATATCAACATACAAAAACA